CCGTGGCAGATGCGACAGCGGGTAAGAAGAAAGGAACTCGGCGGGATGGAGAGAGTGAGAGGAAGAGTGAGAGAGGAGGAAAAGAGCGGGATGCGCGAGGAAGATACGCCGCATAATGCCGAGGAACGGAAGAAACGAGCCAATATCCAGCCTCATGCAGTCATCGCGGATTGCAACTGCCGTTTGCGCGCACGGGGACTGCGAGGCGGAGAGTTCACCGGCTCCGTTTGCCTGCAAATTGGCCGCCACGGTCGGCCGATCTATTTTCCCCCGGCCTCGTTCGGGCGAAGACAATGGCTTCGTTCTTGTTAGTGCGCGTGTATCGGGAATCCATAAGGAAACTAATGAAACACGGGCTTCGATTTCCGATTTCGTCAGGCAGAAACAGGCGATCTCGTTCGGCAATCGTTCAAGATGGAATCGCGGACGACGCTTTTGCCGCTCCGCGTCCGTGAAACTACGCGCTGGAAGCCGCGCGACTCGCGAGCGTGTCGTCCCGGCGGAGATGCGCGTCGCGATTACTCTCGGCGCGATGTCAGAGCGAAACGCGTCACCTATGGGCAGCAGCCGTTCTCGCCGAGAAGTCGAAAACTGGTTACTCCGGTTGATTTTATATTCCATAATCGCGCGTACATCTCGGGTTTTTACAGTTATAGATATTATTGGAAACGGGAAAGAAAGTTCCCCCCCCCCGCTGTGTCACCTCGGACGCCCAACGGGACTCTGAATAATTCGTCCCGCTAATTATTTGTACTTCCGACGCATCTTTTCGCGCTGCCTTCCTTTGAGGAACGACATAGGCGACATCCAGGTGTAACGAATATATACGGTGAGAGGACTGAAACGAGCGAGGATCATCTTGACTGGATATGAGAAAGAGAGCATGGAAGGCGAGCGAGCAGTCAATCGAAGAAAGAATTGTAGATTCGTTGTTTTGAGATAATGGAGCCGGGATAATTAGAGTTGCTCATTTTTCAGGCGGCTTTAATCAACTTGGCATCTGTTACTTGAGGTAGCAACAGTTAGATAAATACGGCCGTGTGCGATTAGTTTAACCCCTTGACTGTCGATGATGAGAATTCTCGTAATTTTCGACGTTCACTGTCGCGAAAATATATTTCCTCGACGTGAAATATTTTGTTATGTTAGAACACTTGAATGATTTTATCACTGAATCAAAATGTAACTAAGGATTTTTGAGTATACTGAACACGATTTTTGAATCCGATTTGCAAAATGTTGCTTCGCAAAAAGGATACGGCTGTCAGAGTAATGAGAACCTTTCGAATTTTCGAATATTCTCATGTTATGAAATGTTTTGTTATATTAAAATTCCGTAATAAATTAAATATATTTAAATAATTAAAAAAAAAATTCGATATTTATTGCAAACTAACATCAAATTTCAATTAAAATTTGCTAATCAAAAAATCCCTGTATAAACTTTCATTATTTTCAAGAAAATAATTTTGCGTTGACATTCTGGGATCAATCGAGGAAAATGACGTAGCAATAAAGGGGTTAAATTTGCACACCGCGTTCTAAGAGATAAAAACATGTACTTTGAACTTTATGTAAACTTCTGGTTACCACTCGAAGTATAAATATGTACATTATAATCTCAACACGCACATGTTTTCCAAATGATTAGCTGAAAGTCTATTATTAAAGAATTAAGAGGGAAAATATAAAACCTATCCTTATATTCCCCTCGTCGTATCCGAAACGAACAGGTCACGCGGAAACCCGCGACCAAAGAGGACCGATACTTACGGATAGGTGATTTGGCCGTTACACGTGCCCGATCTCTCCTTCTTCGTCCAGTGGAGGAAAAAGAAACGGAAGTGGAACGAGACGCGTGCTCTTTCACCCGTCAATTTTCGATGAGTCACGCGCGCTCGCGCGCACCCAAACGCACCCGCCCCCCCC